CATAAAACTTTTTTTACGGGAAAAATAGCACGTAAATTTACGGGACCTATGTAGGTCCCGTATCGTTACTGTTTTTACTAAAGTTAACGAGATCTTTTACTGAGAAGTGAAAAAAAGTAATTTTTCTTCACGTAACTCGTTCTAATGCGCTTTGTTAACCTCTGATGTACACTCTAAAGCCGACGTTGTGAAAAAAGAAGAATTATCATTTTCAGTAGACATTGAAGAAAAATAACGATTGCATGCAAATTTCATTTTTTTGAGAGGTTTAAAAGTGTTCGAAACGACTTAAAGCTTTCTTTACACTCACCGATGGTTAGCTTAAAAAAAAAGAGTGAGTCATAAATAAAGTACCATATCAAAGTTACGTGTGCCTTTAAGTGAGCCCGTAAGTTACCACGTAAAATAGTAACTTACGAGAGTGCTAAGTACGTTTCATGCAACACCCGTAAGTGCACCCATAACGGATTCGTAAGTGACCTGCTTAAGTGGGCACTTAAGTGTAGGTTTTATGCAACCGGGCCCAGGACACAAGTGGGATCACGGCTATTATCATACAAGAAAGGCCGCGGATAGCAATGATCGTCAAGAAACTGGAGTTTAACCGTAAGCGTATGAATGCAGGCATTAAGAAGAGAGAAAGAGAAAAGGAAAATACAATAAAACAGAGCCAAATAAATATAGAGCCCACGTAAATTCTAGTTGATGAAGGCATTGCCTTTCCCCCTTTCTCTCTTTCTTCTTTTTTCCGCATTCTTTAGTTGTTCTTTATAATAAAGACTATTAAGCGATACCCGCAACTGATAACATACTGGTGTTACACCCTGAACCCCTTATTACCGCGTTCGTAAAAACGCATCTTAATCTGGTGTTCCTGTGGCACTAAGGCAGAAATTTTCGAGCTATCACGGGCGACGACAAATTAGCCGCCCCTATGAATTTTATCAGGGGCAACTCGGACGGGGAACTGGACTCCTTTCGACTCGATTTCGTTTCCGTAATTTTTCTGTAAGTGACGAACGCCGATCTGTAATCAGTGATTAAATCTAGTAATAGCTGATTTTAGAATTCCCAATATGCAACAAGACCTCTCCTACTTTCTAACGGAAAAGACCCGGGGACGCAGTTTGACTGATCGCAAACCACCTTTAACCTCTGACAACAGGAATCCCAAGAAAAAAAAGTCCTACTGGAGGTAGTGCCTTTCGAACGTGTGTTTATGTCAGTATTGTATACATACTGAGCGATATTACTTTAAAATAACAATCGGTTGCACCCACAGATTGTGTGGGTCTCCTGTGGTTATTCGCTTACACAAAGGTACTTTTATGTAAAAGACTTACTTTTTCATCATTTTGTCATGTAAGCTGGAGATTACACCTTCACACTTCACACCGTAGGTTTGTTGACTGTAGTTACCTAGAACAGATGTCTTCTTGTCTTGGCCAGCAAATACGTAGTTGCACAAGCTTGTAGGTCTAACTTTGCTTTCTGGACCAAATGGATGAAAGTAAGAATTGTTACCTTTCAAATGACCGCTCAGTAACTGAGCAGTAATGTCCTGTGGTACTGATTAATATATGTTTAAGATGTGGTTCTCAGTTTTAATACTTTCGCGTGAACATTCAAATGAGGACCTCAAATGAAGATCAGTGCTTTCCAGCGGTGATGTTTGTTGTGTCGTAAAGGGTGTATGGACGAAATCCATTAACATGTGACCATTCAAGCACTGCTTTCTCCAGTCGTACTGTTTGTTATGCTGTACAAGTTGGTTCGAGATTTTGAGTCTGTGGATGAACTCTTAATTAAAGTGTGACTTGTAGTCAAATGAAAGCCTCTGATTACTCAGTGCTGTAGGTGGGGGTTCTAACGTTTGGGTTATTTATGAAATCACGGTACGATTCAAATGATTCGCCAATTCAAGTCCACTGTTTGAATACGCCTCGTTGTCGCGGCTTGGCGTACTATCAGGAGCCATGCATACTATACACATAGTACAACAGGAAAATGAATTTAATCATGAACAGATTTGCATAAATCTGCTTAACGGACTCACACGTTTAAGGTACTTCTATTCGTTAGGGGATTTGTTAGAGGGGCAGAAGCTTATAGACCTCTGAATTAATGGGACACGTTGCGGAGAAGCTAAGATTTGCAATATCGACTCATCTCTTCAGCGGACTAATTTGAATTCCTGTGTAGTTCATTCCTAAAACACAGCGAATACTGAGGGGTTCAATCCAAAACTACAACTTAGTAATACCGAAATAATTATTGTAGGTTGCTTTAAGTTAAGGTTATCGGAGACTGTCGCCCGGACCAGGTATAAACTGACCTTGATGCTTGATTAATCTGTTAAACCAAGAACTTTCGTTTGCTTCTGTCTATGAACAGTGCCATCCATTAGGGAAAGAATGAGAATCCTTTGCTTGTCAAATTGCTTTATTATCATTCACATAAAAGATTTGTTTGCATTGGTTTCAAATGTCTAAACAAGCGGAAAATTTTTAAAACGCCATGATTTATGTTAAGTAGGCTCGAGCTCGTGATTTTCAAATTTCTCCAAGACCCTTTTTCAGAACTACAGGCCAATGGTAAGCGCGAAACCGACAAAAATATGGCGCGATCACAGGTATAGCAAAAATTTAAGATGATTTTTAGGCTATGCGCACGGTCCTCTTTCTGTCTTTCTTGGGAAAGTGTCAAACTATTCATTTCAAACAACGGACAGCGAAAAAGTGCAACTTGTGTTGAAACAGTGCGGAAAAACGAGTTGCATAGCGATGTTAGGCGTTCTACCATTCACAAATAAAACCTGTCTGGCAGCAAATCAGGTTTGTCGCAGGTTGCGCTGGAAACGTGGTTGTCGAAAGTAGAGAGTAGTACTATTTCTTAAGGGGGCCGTAAAACGCGCTACATTGCTTTTCAATTGGTTTTGCAGGAATGTTGCAAAACAAGTTGCACGGTTTTGTTGCCCGCTTTGCCGTAGCTTTATTTGACTACTGGTCTGAGTAATGGCTCTTTGAATTCCAAGTGTACCCATCTTCCCAGGGCATTTGTCGGGCATCTGTCATTTTGTTTTGGCAAAGCTGCAAATGCCTCACGGTACAGCTGACAGTAGGGCAGGGCGGTTTACACAAAACCTCACGGTGGGGCTTTAAAAAGTGTGCAAATGCCCCACCCCAGGACAACACAAAAATTGCATTTTTTACGCCAAAATGGTGCTCTATTCTCAACGCGATTAGAACTCATTTTGATATGAAAGGTGTCCACTCAGCCTCGGTTTGAAAGTGCAAGTTTTTTACTTCGCTCCCCAGGGGTTTTTGCATACATTGCTGGAGACGAAGTTTTGAGGGTTTTCTAGGAACTAGGACAATGCGGAGGTGTTTTGTAGAGTGAGAAAATCGGAAAAAAAACTCCGACATATATTTACCTACGAACACCGACGAAAAATATGGCGCGATATATGAAAGTATAGAAAAACTTGAGGTGATTTATAGGCTAACGCGCTTATGCTCATCTTTCTGTCTCCGCTCTTTCAGGTCTTTCTTGGGAAAGACATGAAACATGTCAAAATTGATTGACTACTGATTTGAGTATCGATGAGATCGAACCATATAAAGAGGAATACATCAGCTGTTTAGCTTTTACTTTAGGTGAGCGACGGCTGGAACCTTTGGTTACTGAGAGGAAGTACAGACTTGCTACAAGTCGACCTCACTAGTTTCTTAGCGAGTAGAGCGAGTTTTTTCGGCCGCAAAGCAGCCAAGTTGTCAGCTCGTCCCGAGCCATACTAAATCGGACGAAGGACTTTTTGGAAAGTCTAAGAGTTAGTAGTGTTTCGGGGGAATTTTCCAGCACCACGCCTAATAATGATAACTACATGGACGATAACAATGGTTTATTCACAGCGTACTTTATATCGAATGCATGGTTCTTCATCTGTGATCATCTACAAAGATTAGCAATCGCTCAACATCGGCTTACTAAGCCATTTTAAAGTTGTGCAACTAGAACAGCCTTCACAACCTCTTGGTAAAACCTTCCTGGTTTGATATGTAAATGATTAGACCACAGACTTGTTGACATGAGAATAACATGATTTGCACATGCATGAAAAGGAAGGTTTGTAACAAAACAAGATTTAAAGGCCAACGCACTAAGGGCGCATCTGTAAAAAGGCTTATCGGACTATAGGTAGAAACAAAAATTCATAGTCAAAGCTTGCATTTAAAATTTACGGAAGGAATCTCATTTCTTGGGTATTATCCCTGAGAGGTACCAAAAATTCATTTGAGTTGACATTCTTAAAGGCCCCGTGATAGCTCTTAATGGGGTCTCTTAAATGTATGTAGTCTAAATGGTACCAACCCATAATTTTCAACAACTAAAAGGTACTAAACCGCAACTTCGACAATCGACTCGCGCCCCTCTGGACGGATATTGTGATCGCTGATGAATGACGTAATAAAAAAGATTAAAATACTTAGTCACTTATACGCTTTATCCTCTCTTGTCTCTAAACAGTAACCATACCACAGTACAATACCTAATCAAACACAGTTTTCGCAATATGAGGGTACAGTACCCTTACATTGGAGAACCGAAAGTTCTGGTTAGAGAATCGAATGTTTCAAGTCAGAAGCTTCCGAAAATATATAGGCTGTCGTTTAAGAAGGTGCTGTATTTCTACTCTTTTTTGTCTCTTCATCCAACTGGTTTGTATATACTTTATAACGGATTTTACTCCCCAAAAGTCAAATTTAACTGACAGTAATGCGTAAATGCATGGTTAGAACTCTCCTTAGGAACACAATGTGATACAAGTCTCTACAGTTTAAGCAACCACAACAAATAAAACGATGCTTGGGAAGTTATACAGCTTTCAGCTGTAATTCTTTCAGACGAAAGAGTAACAAATTAGGGTATTCGCTGGCACATCCTGGACATCAGTTTTTTGAGATCAATACAAGCCCCTGTAAGATAAGGTGATAATTCTGGTGTCAGTAATAATCGTTCTGAGTGTAAGTTACAATTATCAATATATAGGAGTGTGAGATTTTTGCGTCGGTTTCCAATTCAACCAAAAAAAAAAAAATCAAATCTACCGTGAATAAAAAAAAAAAGAAGTAAGCACATACATAGAATTTTTTTGTCAACCATTTAGTTCACATTGAGTTAAAAACTGTTCATTTGAAAATCGCTCACATGTTAGGCATCTTAGAGGAGGGGGATGGGGGGAGGGGGGGGAACTTAGGAAGTAAATCGTGCCAGCACATTTAAAACATGCCCTCTGCCACGGTGTTTATTGCCGAATTCACTAAAACGAACTAGTCTGAAAAGTTAAGTCGCAACTTGATAATTATATTCAACTCAATATGTTTACTTTGGCTTTTAAGTGAAGCTTGCGTTTTGCATTCCAAACCTGAGTGATTGAACGGTAGCCTGCAAGAATGCTCACTTTTGCGAGGTCGGGAAAAACCTTGAGGGCGGAGCCGTCAGCGCGCGACAAGAATGGCGCGCGGCCCCACCCACAAAATTTTCCCCGAACTCGTACAAGTGAGGCCGTTCCCAGGCTACCGTTCAATTACCTGAGGAGCTAAAGATAATCGAGCACCAGGTGGTTACCCCCCGTAAGCTCAATGGAAACTTTTTCTGTTCCTGGGGTGTAATATTCATGGTATATCCGTTTCACTCACCAGATCTGCTTTTGCCTGTCATTTGCATCAACAATGGTAAATTCAGCTGGGTTTGTACTCTCCTTTGGAACTTGGTTGGCGTTGTTATTATCAGTGGGAAAACTTGCAGTAAAACGACGCGTACGAGTTTGCTGGCACAGAAGAAACACAGAGATTCAGTATCTTGGTGGATGTGTTTAGTTACTGTAGTTAGCACTTGAGCTGAAATAGCTCATGCTCATGAATTTGGTGTGCTAACAGTTAGCCTGCGTAGCAGGCGCTTGGAAGTATTAAATGGGTGCCAGAAAGAACTGGACGCGCAAGGGAGACACCTCGCGTGCGCCCGTTCTTTCTTGTGCCCATTAATTCCTAGCGCCTGCTACGCAGGCTAGTTAACAGTTCATATATAGTTGCTGCAAAATACTTCCGAAAGTACTTTATTCAATTATCAATGTATTTAGCACGAAAGTGCTTATCAAGGACACAGTTTTTCTCCCCTCTACGCCATAAAAACGCATCTCAATGTCAATGCATTTAGCACGAAGGTACTTATTGAGGACACTCCTGGAGACGGGGCCGCCAATTTTTGGTGGCCATCCAAGGTAAGTAAAGATCTAGCCATTTGCGGGGTGCTGGCAGTACCGAGTCTCCCTTAGTATTGGTCCCCAATAGGGTTTTTCAATCCCATAATCACGAACCAAAACTTCTCGAAATCTCGTCATCCCGAGGGTTATTTTGGGCATTCTAACTCGTACCCATACTTTCAATCCCGAATCTCGCCCCGTTTTCGCTTTAAAATCCGGTATTCCGAAAAACCTATCGAGGACCCTCGTCCCGTGGATCGATTCCAACACCTCGCGCCCTGAAGTCAAGGGCTTTACCGACTAAACTAGTCCTGCTGCCGGTCATCTAATCTCCTACGTTTTATCATTAAAATGTTAGGGTGGGGAGTGATTAAAATAATTTCCAAGTTACACGCGGATGAGTGCAGCGAACACTGGGGTAATAACAGTGCATGTTTCCTCTGATCAGTTCTAAGGGTTTGTAGTCGTGCATGCAGGCCATGAAATACACTACGGTCTCGCATTCTTGTTAGGTCGTTTCAGAAGATAAGAAATAAAAAATTGATTAAAATGAAAACAAAAAATAGCCTACAGTTCCGGCTTTCAGACTGTCTGGCATAAAATGACACCAATACCTAATATTAAAGTCTTCCCAGTTCTTTATTTTCAAGTAATTACAATTTTTTCCGAATTATGAGAAACTTTTTTTGGTATTTTGAAAAACAGAAACAACAGACTGGCATAGAAATATATCATAAAGGCTCCTGGCGAGAGAAAAAGTCAAGAAATTCACATAGAATTTGCTGTGCGTTTTAAAATTCTTTTCGACTAAAGTTTTGATTACCGGCATATATGTTATGTCTTCTATCTCACTGATCCCTGACTCACTCGTGGAGAAGTATGGATTAAACGCATGGTTTTTGTACGATCCAATGGATGAATTCATTGATTCTACCCTGAAAATAAAAGCAATTTCACATTTTAAGACCATATACATTCTATTGGCCTGCAAAAAATTTATAAATAAATAAATAAATAAATAAAACGCCTGTTATGTAGACTGACATTTCATTTGATACATTTCTTTTCAGAAACATTTTTAATTTTCTCGTATCAAAAAGTCACGCAATGTGAGAACTTGGTGGGAAGAGAATGCTACAACGGATGCCATTATCACCATTATAGATGACGCCAAGTTTTTACAAATTGATCCTACGGTGACTTGTTCTGACTGTCAGCCAGTAAAAAGTGTTTCCTCGAGTGTCAGTGGTTATTTAATTGCTTTCAAACGTATCAAAGAATTATATTAATAGTGTCCCGAATTCTCAGCCCTAATTCTACCCTACCCAGATTCTTTTACGATGGTGATTCCACCGACTATCCGAAGTTGGTGGGGCTCTCCCAGACCATGGCGCTATCCGATGAGTCCCAGTTGCGAATAAATAAATGCAGGAGACGTTTCTGTTGATCAGAAGGTTAAATTATGGGAATGCTATTACACTCCGATCTGTGTACGGTCAAGGCCATCCTTCCTATGGGTGCGAGAGAGAACGGCGCGCGAGATACTCCCTCCCCCCTCGCTTGTCCCATCGTGCGCGCTGTTCTTCCTTGTGCCCACATTACTTGCAAGCGCCTGCTACGCAGGCGAGGCCAAGTCTCAAAAAGCTAACAAACACACAAAACAAATTAAAGGGCTTCTTAACCATCTTCACCATCCAAGTCTTACCTTTCTTGGAATTTTTTGAGTCTATAACTCAAACAAGCGATAACAATGCTTTGGATAAGGAACATAACACAAACTGCGATGAGCGCGGTAATGAAAACTGAAAAAAAAAAGGCAATGTCTTTACTATTATCTTCTACTCCTTCTATTGTTTTTTTATTAGCTTAAAGTTTAACTGCCAGTTAAGAAGTTAACTTTAGAGGATGTTGCAAAACTGGGGAACCGGAAGCGGGGAACAAGCCTAGGAAATGGGAAAATGAAAGATGGGAACAAAACCTGACTAGCTGTCAGTAAATTCATTTCCAATTCTCTGCTTTGTTGCCATTTTTCATGTCCCGTTTCCCTTTCTCGTTCTCTGCTCCCCGTTCCCCGTTTTAGTAACATCTTATTGGCAGTGAGTCTACGAAGTGGCTGAAAATAAAGAATACCTAGAGACGCTATGACTCAACAAAAACTTTCACGCTACATCTGTGTGTTCTTTCTTCTTCACTGCGGTAATCGTTCACTCATCAGCATTTTCTCTCAATCTGTGTAGTTTTCTGCATATCCGTGCATCATGATAACGACGATAACAATCAAAATAGTGCCAGTATGTAACAAACCCTTGGCAAAGCTGTATAAAGTACTCAATAAGCAAGGTCAAAAACTGGTACTAAATCACACAATTACTGATTTGATCACTGGTTAATGTCGCTGGGCTTTAAATTTAATTATAATAAGAACATGACCACAAAACATGTGGCGTAGAGGGAGTAACACCGCTCATCAGCGATCGGCGTGGCGGACCTTCCATAAGCGCGACCATAAAGCCTTATTTTATCTCTCTATTTAACACTAATGATTTGATTGTCCCAAAATTGTTTGATTCACCACAAAAAAGTTTTCTGCAATGATCTCACAAATTCGTGAACAAAGAACCAAGTAAACTCACTTGCGGCGCGGTTAAATAAAACACAATAGAGATATTAAGATTCGCGTTTACGCCAAACGGCAGACGTGAATTTGTACCACGTGACCAAGTCTTTCCCTTATTTTCCGTTTAATCTTTATTGCTTCTACACAAAAACAAGTAGTTTTATGCCAGTTTTAACCACTGGAATCGTTCGGGACTGTTTTTATCTTCTTATTTTCTATTCTGAGAAATTCTCAACTTGACTCTGACGTTTGCCGTTTGCGGTAAACGTGAATCTTAATCTCCCTAATAATACAAAGAATACATACGTATTTCGATAGTTCGGTCCCCACATATTAAAGAGTCTTTACACGTATCTTCAGCACAAACTAGTAGAAATAAAATACAATTTTAGAGTTGGATAAAAAGCGCACCAGAGCGCAAATTAATACAAGAATTTCTCACATACCGTGATAATTCAACAAACACCGTAGACTACTTTTTGGTTTAATAGTAGGTTCAAGGGGATTATGAGGAGGTTTTTGGTAAAAGAAATGAGCCATTGGATGGGTTAACTAAAAATGAGGCTTCTTTGGCACATCCCAAGAAGCATTGATTAGAAGTATCCATGATAAAAATTTTTGAATTCTAATTCTTTAAAGTTGAAAGGAAATTTTTTGGTGTCCTGTTTTAGATAGGAGGATCAGGCGCGAATCCATACCGTTTTCCACCGTTTTACGGAAATCGGTCAGATTTTTCATATATATATTTTTAGTAAAAATCAAAACTTTCCAAGTTGAAATCTGGAAAATAGTTTGGACAGTCAATAAATATCTTGTCTGAATGACTCAGAAACTCAGGAAAGGGGACTTTGGGGAATTGAAATCTAAAAAAAGATTCCCGGGGGAGCATGCTCCAGTACCCCTCCTAGAAGGTTGCACTTCCGGAGCTCGTCTAGGAAATCGGCCATTCGTGCCTGAGTATTGCCTATCGAAGCGAGATATTAGCGAGACGTTAGCAGTCGCCCTCAAATGACTCCATTAAGAAATCCTTCTAAATTTTGCCTGTTACATGAAGTCATTTTCTCAACCAAATTTAGAACCTCCATAAAAAAACGTCCTGGATATGACGAACTATTTTTTAACCCAACTAATAGTACAATACATATAACGAAACCTAGTCATAGCGAACTACTTTAAAGAGTGTGGTTGTTAGTTAATAAAGAAGAGGTCTTAAACAAGGTTAAGCTAGTGATTTTGAAAATTTTTGTCGCTCTCAAGGGACGTTACAAGGATCGACGCTTTTTAGCTGATTCTACGACAACAAGGCAATGGAATTCCCAGTCATACATGTTGTGGTTCAACTTTATCCTTGATTTAAGTTTTATCTTCCTTGTTTTGGAGTATGGTAATGCTTGTGTGAGTTTGAAACAATGGGAAATAAAATTTAAACCAAGGATAAAATAGAACCACAACATATATTTGTCTAGTACAACTATGATCTTTTTTTATGAAATAGTTTTGTATGTAAAAAAAAAACTTTTCACAAAGATGAAAAATTTGCAGCCAATGTATCAGAGCAACTTTAATTGGCTTGGGACCCAATTTGTAGGAATTTTTAGACTTTTTGAAATCGTTAATCTCAACATATATGCATACTAGACCAAATTATAGAGTTGACTGACCATAGTTGATTCTGTTATGGTTACGAAAAACTGTCAATAAGATTACCGCAATTTCGAGTTATTTGATACACTTATACAAACCTCATGATCCAATAACAATAAAAATGTCGCACTATGTTTTGTATTTTTGGATCAGCTTTAAATATCTCGATTTACTCGAGTCAAAGATCTACGCAGCTGCTAAAATTTATGATACATAATTGTAATGCGAGTGACTTAAGTTTCTGATTTAAGTCTTCGTTCGTTTTTGAGGTAGAAAAAATTGACATGTCTATGCGGGGTTCAGTTTTTTTGCGTTTTCTTTACTTGTTTCAAGTTTCTATAGCATTTATGACGCGAATAAGCTTTCGAGAAAATTCCAGACAAGTTATATGAAACAGATTGTTTTAAATGCGAATAGGCTCTCTCTTGAGGAACCTCAAATCCTTAAAAACTTTACTGACCCTCCCTCAAACTTTGTGCTGTCCGTTTAAAAATTTGGCCCTGTAGTAAAGTAAAACAACTGAACAGTCGTGAAACTCACAGTGCATATTAAAGTTGTAAGACTCTTTGACCACTACTGCAGTCCAAGTACATTCACTAGAGTATTTGTTTTGATCAATCTAACCTACCTTTTCCGTTGAAACTAGCAAATATCACCAAGAGCATGAAAATGCAGGAGTTTTCCTTTATCGCTAACATCACTGGATTGATCGTGATTTAGTTTACTGACAAGGTGAATAAAATTAGGACCGACGCCAGCGTAATTTCAGAGTCGATGTCTGACCGATCGACAAATCGTATACAATTGAACGCAACTTTAATAACCTTCACTGGAATAATCAAACTTGCAGAACTTTTGAACCATGAAATTTATGTCCTCCATTCACTGAAACGCGGAAAATGATGGGACAATAGCTATCTTATCCTAGGTGGGTGGGAATTAAATCGAAAACAGTGCAGATTATTCGGGAATTTAAACCAGTTTTTTGTACACAAAATCCAGACCGTTCAACAGTCGAAAATCAATGAGTGCGTCAACTACCCACATTGTATAATCTCTGTGGGTAATTTTTTACTATGGCCGTTTGGGGGGCATAGGTTTCGACGCAGTTGAAGTAGGAACCCGGTATGTGATGATAATTATGATATATTATTTGTGTGTTGGGTACCTATCCACTTAAAAGATTACACTGAAGTGCTAAATTAAATGGGATACTTGTTAAAAATTTTACATTAAGTAGTTCAATTCTATAAGGTGTACCAAAATGAATTGCATGTCTTTACATATCGCCATTAGTCTCAACCATTGTACAATTTAAAAAAAATTATAATACTTCCTCCATCTTTTCAACTAATATCACGGAAATTCAATATTTTACAGAGGGGCAATTATTTGGAATCGAGTACCGGGTCGGAAAAGTTCTGCAAACCAATATATTCCTGAGGAGTTATAATAATAAAAAGGATTGATGATGAGTCGAAACTTATTATAGACACCGATTTTAGCAACCTGCACCGTAAAGAAGTTTGAATTTTTATCTTTTCTTCCTCTTTTTAAGGCCTTCACATTTATAAACAGGTTTCTTTTTTAGACTGCACATGTAATAAAATCTACGATTGGACTCGTACGCGAGTTGAAAAGAGGCGCTTTTCTACTAAATATAAATCAGTTGAAATCAATCCATCTCTGCTCTTCGGTTCTTAGGTTACTTTATTTAGTCCATGATCGGCATTACTGAAATGTATTAAGCTTTGCACATGACGTCTGACTGAGGCAATAATGGTGTGCTATTAACAACAGTGAAACGGTGGCCATGTTGGTACATTTTCCAAGCCAGTCTTGTGGGAGTTGAATCTTTTCTTAATATGTAAACGCTTTCTTGTGTTATATGCATAGATGCTAGCCACGTGAGGAGGAAACAGCTTTGCCTTCCAGTGGCGAAGGCCCCACAGGAGCCGGAAGTCACTGCAAGCAAAACTTTTTCGATAAGCCTGGTAACAATGGAAAAGTCTTCCGGACTCCAGTGATGCGGAAAATTTTTGCCAATGGAATCCGGAATCCTGGTTTTTGAAATCCGGAATTCAGCTCAAGTGAATCCGCAATCCCGCTAACCATTGGAAACCGGAACCCAAGTTTTTCCTGACAAGGAATCTGGATCCGGTATCTGAAATATAGCCCGCGAAAACAGCCGTTTCTCCTCGCCCCTCGCCGCTAGGGACGTTTCACGCAGAGGAACGTCTGCGTCTCAGCGGCAGAAATTCGATACTCCACTGATGACGTAAAATCTGTCCGGAAGCCGGTCAGAAGCCCTGATTGGTACGGAGTAGTTACACTGTTTAGCTATTTTTTGCGAATGACAGACAAAAGACAAAAGGCCACAAAGGTCAAATGTAAACGCGACGAATCTCTAACAAAACAGTCAATACTAATTTGTGGAATACAGTCTTCTCTGGAAGAAGCATTTGAGTTTTGCTGGAGATCGTTCGCAACACAATGCTTTACCAAAATCTACCAGGAGAAACGTAAGATTGAACAAATTTGCATTTGGAACCCCGTGACTACCGGATTTATCATGTCATCAGTATGGAATTTCTGCCGCTAAGACGCAAACGTTTCTCTGCGAGGAGAGAGCGAGGAGAAACGGCTGTTTTCACTGGCTACCTGAAAGAGTACGCAATCCAAAGCACCATGAAAGCGTCATGTGGAATCAGAACCCAAGGCTGTCTCGGATTAACTTACAACAGTGCGAGAAAGAAGGGTCTTTTTGTGCTTTTTTGCAGCTTACAAATTATTCTTTTTGTCGCTTAAACAATGTTGTTATATGGCAAATAGGTGTTTTGTGCAAATATCTCTGGGGTCTGTTGATTTATCCTTGTTTCACTGACTGCCATAAGATAGGATGGTAAGAAAGGAAACTGGTATTCTGTTGGTGGTTCTGGCTGACCTGACGTGTGATCCGTTCTTGCTTGATTTCTGAAAAAAATATTTTGTGTATACGAAGAAGCTTCATTGAAAGATTCTATTTAGAATGTTTTAGGTATAATTATACAATTGGTTTGTCTATCATTTCTGTTCACAATTATCAATGCCATTCGCCTGATGAAGGTCACAAGAAAACGGTCAAGATATTGCCATCAGAGATGAGCATTTTGTAGCCTGCGAATACAGCCGTTTCTCCTTACTCCTCACCGCTAGGGACGTTTCGCCAGGAGGAACGTCTGCGCCTCATCGACAGAAATTCGATTCCATGCTGATGACGTAAAATCTGTCCGGAATCTTGTCAGGATCGAGCTCTTTTTAGTCGACGTAGTAGTTTTATTGTTTTACCTATTGTTTACGAATGACAGACAAAAGACTAAAGGTCACAAAGATCAAATGTAAGCGGGGTCGTAAACGTGATGAATGTACTACAAAACAGTCCGCAATATTCCTGGAATACATTTTTGGAATTTCTGTCGCTAAGGCGCAGACGTTCCCTCAAGCGGAACATCCCTAGCAGCGAGGAGAAGGAGAAACGGCTGTATTAGCAGGCTAAGCATTTTGAGTCGAAGGATAAACTAACCTATCAAAAAAGAATAATGTCAATTTTCAGGAGCCCATCAAGGTACTGTTATCACGTCTTATCTTATTGACATAACCTTAATCAATTCTTCAATTGTAGCCGCGCAGAACTTGATAGGTGCCTCTACAGGAAACTAGTTACCCGATTCCCCCTTTACCCCTTCCCCCTTCCCCCAAGGTGGAAAAATGTTCCGCCGTCCGTGTGTTATGTGCTTCCGACATTAAGACTTAGGTATTATTGGCCCCAGAAACTATTGTTCTGTTACTTGCCACTGATTAATGAGCTCGGGTGTTAAACGGGTGGCCTAACTCTCGACTCCCTTTCGTGAGAACGGCTCTAACAGCCCGCGTTTAACCAGGCTCCCTGGATTCTACTAAGTTTAATAACAAATTTTTTTAGTTAAAATAATTTTTAAGGAGGCATATTTAGATTTTTGTGAATTTTTCTGATAATGCAAACTGCTCTCTTACCCAAACAGAGCTTCTAATAAGCGCATTGTTCCAAACAAGATTAACACAAAAACCTGAACACCAACTAACGTCCCAAATACCATTAAAAAGATGAATGCAGCTGAAAAGCAAGAAGAGAGGAATGATCGTTATACATGGCAAACTAGAGACGGAGGGTATCTACAAAGTTAAGAGTAGGAGTGTCTTCCTGATCATGAGTCCCTTATAAACATTTAAAAAAATAGATTCAGATAATTAAATTTTTTAGGCACTTACTTGTGTTTGTGTCTTTCTCGTCCTCTGCACTATCCAGATGGTTGTATTCTAAATTAAACATTAATTTGCTAGAGTAATTCTGACAACATCATTTATTTAGGATTCTGACTCGTCTGAGAATAGTATTTGCTCCAAGCTAGAGACGCTTTACCCTGGGTACCACAGGTTTTTTCTCGCGTGCGTCGGGGACCTTCGCTTCGTCGGCTGAAGGCCGACACGTGTTCGGCCAAAGGCCGAAGACACGAGCGGCGAAAAAGCGAGAAAAAACCTCTGGCTTTTCGCGCGGGTCACTTTTTAAGACTTGACCGAAACCGGAAACCGCCTTGTGCGTAATAAGACGGTCTAATGGTCCAGTTTTTTTATTTTTTATGTTCATGGTCAAAGACCAAAGATTTTGTGCCATTCAGAACTAAACACGGCGTTTTTATAGCTAGATTTGTTGACAACAGAACCTCATGTCGTTTTATTCTGTTTATTTACAAATTCTTGTGGTTAAACAAGTCGGAAAGCCGCGATCAACTTGCTTTTAAGAGTTGTAAGAGTGATAATACAACAGCTCAAGTTGCTAGGCCAAATTTTGCGCACGGAGACTAAGATGAGCCTGCTAACATCTACGCGTTACATGAGCCCTCCCACGGGAGAACAACCCCAGAGAGACCGCAGAAGCCCTTTTCCGAACCATGTTCAGGAATGGATCGACCCAAACAAGTATTTCTTAGAGGACAACATCGCGCCCACTCGCCCAAGACCGAGCCAGTTTGAGACGTCGACTTACAGTCAGCTGCTCTTCAGTCGACCCATGATGATGATGATGATTACAAACCGGATTGGGCTCCACGCAGTCCTATTGACTATACTGACTGTAGTGTGAGTTGGAGGCGAAATTCTCTTGTTTGGAAAAACTACCAAGACCCTGGATTCAACTTTTGGCTTCCTAATGCTTCTCGCTAGACTTTTATACGATATAAACTCGACATCAAGCGTAACTTCGACTTTAACTTCAATTATATCCAGATTACGGTAAACAAGCCAACTATTGGCGACCTAAATATTTAAAAATGTAGACGTCATGTATGGGGTTGTTGTTCGTGAAAGTTTTCAGTGCACTTCTTATTGCTCAGAAAACTTCGTGGTTGAACTATATCAGGGAGATAACCAATAAAGGTTTGACGCTGAAAAGAACTTCAGCTCTAGTTGGACTATAAATTAAAACCAGAAACAAAAACGCTGTTTCCGTTACGTTAGTCCAAGGTCAGGTGGGATCCCAAGCATGCGTGCTGAAGGAATCGACGGAAAAGTTTAACAAATCCATAAAGTAGGTGACGTTCATATTAACTGAACTATCGAAAAGACGATGTTCACACCGTAAACGCGATTCCCGGATAATTTTGCTTACCATGATCCAAACCGTGAACCTGCCAGTTTGCCCAATATGTAAATTGTAAACAACCCCTGATTGGTTGTGCCGCGAGGGTAATTAGGGACCTTACGATCTGACATCGGCAACGTCCATGAAAACTTCGTTGAAAAATAGA